TCTGCCAGCAAAAACAGAGCCCAGGAGGGCCATCAGAGGCCATCCAGGCTCCATTTTTGGGTGCGACAGCCTCCTGCAGCCTTCTGCCAGTGAAAATGGAGCCAGGGAGGGCCGCATGCACGGCCCTCCCTGGTTCCATTTTCACTGGCAGAGGGCTGAGGGCATTTTCACTGGCAGAAGCCTGCAGGAGGCTGTCACAGCCAAAAACAGAGCCTGGAGGACCGCTGATGGCCCCCCTGGGCTCCGTTTTCACTGGCAGAAGGCTGCAAGACATTGAGCTGGACATGCCCGCCCTGGTCATGCTCACCCCAGCTATGCCCACTGGTCAAACACAACTCTGATGCGGCCCTTAATGAAATTGAATTTGACACCCCTGTTCTAGACCATAAACATAAGCCCAGATATTCATGTTGTGGCATGTCAATCTTTCGGAATACAACCTAAATGGAAATTCCATCAAAAAGCAGAAAGTTCCAATTGTGTTTATTATTATGTTATTCCTTCCAATTTCATCTATGGCAGTAGACATGATTTAATTTTTTTAAAAAAACAACACTTTTTTAATGACAGTACTATGGATGGCAAGAGAGGCCCCAGTTAATGACAGGCCACCAACATGTGGAAGGTTCTGGATTCGATCCACGGTTTTCCCAATTTTTTTTTTTAAATTGACAAAGAATCCTGCTTGAGAATATATAAACCAGTAGAATAATGTAATCTTGTTTAACAACAGACTTGTTCTCCTGTGCTTTTCTATGACCGTAATAAAGATTTGATTTGAACTGAGACTTGTTCTCAAATCACCCGCCTAAGATAATTGTGTGTTAACTATTTGCTTTGCTTGAATAGGAAGCAACTTGTGTAATGTCACACAAATCTTTATAATAGGAATACTGCTGAGTAATCATGTCCTGTAAGATGACAGAGGGAAATCGAGGACAGAACTGGGCTGTGGCTTTTCAGAAGTACAGATCAGCAGTTTCTATCTTGTGGTTTAGAAAAAACACATCAAGGACACAATACGAGACATTGCAAAGCAAGGCTTCAGTATCAGTAATGGCAACGCAATGTTGCAGTGAGCAGAGTATCTCCAAGCAGCTAAACGGTTTATTTCCCAAGTGTAAGAGAAGCTACTCTGTTAATATAAGCATTAAGGTTATGCTTCAAAACGGTCACAATGGAAGCTATTCAAGGGTGGGCTGCTGGGGGTTCACAGAAGTTCGGGAGAACCTCTAGCTAAGATTCTGTGAAGTTCGGAGAGCCCCCAAATCCCACTCCTGGCTAGCCCTGCCCACCCCACCCTGCCCCTCCCAGGAGTCCCCACATGGCCCGTTTTAGATGCAGAGTGCGTGCGGAGGCTCGGGGAGGGCGAAAAACAGGACTACCAGAAGTTCAGGAAGGGCCTCTGGAGCCTGGGGAGGCCATTTTCGCCCTCCCGGAGCTCAAGGAAAGCCTCCAGAGCCCAGGGAGGGCAAAAATGCGCCCCCTCCCATTGTGGTGCAGGAGGCCAACTAGGCCACGCCCACCCAGCAACTGGGCAGAGAACCCCTTGCTAAAATTTTTGAAGTTATTCATTTCATTTCATGGTCAGGTTAAAAGGAGTCAGATAAATCAATAAAGGAGAATATTTATAGCTCAGGATTGAAATGAGGGGTCTTGGTGTTCTCTCACTAGTCCTGATGATGTTACCTAGTTTGGGTCACGAAATGTCTGCAAGAAGAAGAGACTGGACAGCCATTTGTCTGAAATGGTGTAGGGTTTCCTGCCTGTGCAGGTAATTGGACAAGACCTCCAAGGTCCCTTCCAACTCTGTTATTCTGTTAAAACCAAGTTCAGAGAGTACCAAGCTCAGCCATTGTGGCACGATGGTTAGAATGCAGTATTGCAGGCTAATTCTGCCAACTGCCAAGAATTCGATCCTGACCGGCTCAAGGTTGACTCAGCCTTCCATCGTTCTGAGGATGGTAAAATGAGGAGCCAGATTGTTAGGGGGCAATATGCTGACTCTGTAAACCACTTAGAGAGGGCTGTAAAGCACTGTGAAGCACTATATAAGTCTAACTGCTATTGCTCAGTCAGATAAATGCTAGATAAAAGCAAATTAAAACTAGAAGAGGGCTAACTTAAGTGTACTCTGTGCAAGCTTTAAACCACATGGTTTACACTGAGCTAAGAGGTAGGCCACGCTTGATCCTAAACATAGTGATTCAATGCAGCCAGAGATGGTATTCAGCCGGTTCAGACCAGTTCGCCCGAACCTGTAGTGGAAATCTTGGGTGGATCTGTCCACCCGTACCCATCCAGGCTCTATGCATCCTATTTAGGCACGTTTTTGAGGCCAGGCGCATGCGCAGAAGGGGCGCACATGAGCAAAATGCATGAGCCGAAGGCCGGGTGCATGCACGGAAGGCAGGCATGCGCACAAACTGGGCACGCATGTGCACAAAGCGAGCATGCATGTGCAGGGTGAACCAATAGTAACATAATGTGAAACCCACCGCTGAATGCAGCCATCGCTTATCTAAAAGCAGCATCTCTCCAAAAAGAGAGTTTTAATTCAGAAGTCAGCATGGAAGAAACTTTCAAGCCAGTTATAATTCCTTAATGGTAGCTGGGCTGTTTTAATCAATCCAGCGCCATATGTTTGGAATTTGCAAATACTGCCACCAGCACCTGCAAGGATATTGCAAGCGATCTCCAGCAACAGATGGAGAAAACATTTTCCACGTTACTTAGAAAGCAGCTGGGTCAGACGGCAGAACGTGTTCAAAAAGCAATGCAAAGTACTTTCCCATACAAGCCAAGCTCCACAGCGAATGTCAAAAGGCCTCCGTCTCAAACATCCAGGCAGCCTTCTTTCTCCCAGAGACTGCCCCATCTGCAACCACCATTACTAATAATAGGAATCATGTGTGCTTATCAAAGCCTGAGACGGGCTCCTTTGATCTGGCATTTGTTACTAGTTAAACCTAACTTATCCCGCATACTGTAACAGCTCTCCCTTCTTTGCCGCAGACAATTGTCCAGCTCTCCCATTTGTGATAAGGAGCGCAAGGCTTTCTGATCTCACATTCTGTACATCCTGTTTTCATTGCTTTGATTCATTAGAAACAACTCTGGCAAGGGCAGCACATGCACCCACACATACAGAGAGAGGGAGAGAGAGAGAGAGAGATCGTGATCATTATAATAGAACCAGCAAGTTGGCTATGGTTTCACTTCTCCAATGGAAACAGGCTTTGTTCACTGTAAACAAAGAGGACAGATTCTACGGCATAAGCAGGGCATATTTGCAGGTCCCTCACATCTATCCTTAAGGAGCGTCAACAGCTGATATTTAGCCGAACAAGCTGTTTTTACTGCGTTACCATGAGCTCCTTCAGAAGTTGTTCCAAACGGATCGAGACTTTGGCTTTTGCATTTCCAAAAAAAAAAGATTTTGATGCTCTGATTCTTAAGAATACCTAACTGTCTGAAATGAGCCAGGGGGTTGGACTAGAAGACCTCCAAGGCCCCTTCCAAGTCTGTTATTCTGTTCTGTTACTAATTCTGTGTACGGATGCTTTGTTTCCAAAATTTTAATTCAACTTCCCCAGTTGGTGCCTCTTTCGAAGCCTTGGGCGATCACTTCCCCACCAGCCAGTGCAGCATTAGCCATGCTGTCTTGGGGAAGAAGAAGAAGAAGAAGAAGAAAAAACAAAACCCAGAGCTGGAAGCCAACACATCTGGAGGGCTCCGACTTGGAGAAGATTGTATTAAAGCCAACTCCTCCTCGTCCTTTTGTATCAGAGCAAAAACTACCCTATGAGTCAGGCATACCAACACATCTGAAAACCGCTGATCGGTAGAAAGAGAAATGTGCCACGAGATTCTTTCTTAGACCAAGGAAACAAGTTGCCAAGAGTGCTTTAGCCAAGCTCACAGGAATATCTTTCAAAATTAGGGCCAAATAAGAGGGAAGAAATGGAAAGTTCTAGAAGCATCGGAACAGCATTACTGTATTGGAAGGAGGATGACAGATGAAACGAGCCTTTGGCGTGCCCAAGTTACATCTGTATATATTTTCAAGAGCAGCATCGCTATTGCACTGCTTGGTGCCAAATTTATGCAATTTCAGGCTTCTGTGAAGGGATGTGCATTTGCTTCTTGTGTGCAAACACCAGCGATAAATGGTAAATAAATACATGACAAATGAAATGTATTTATCTATAAGGCGTAAACGATAAAGTCCATCATGATTATAAAAGCTATTTAAAGGAGCACACTGTCCATCAGAAAGGATGGAAGGTCACCCCATAGACAAATTACAAGTTATATAAAATACTGCAGATCTTCCCTTCCCTTGTTTTTTTTTTAAACAGATCTGAGAGATGTTGAATGCACATTTTGACAAGGAAGTATGAGGGAGTGCAGCAGGCTCAGCTAGCCTGCATTTTGTTCCCCCTGAAATGAAAGGAGACCAACTTTAAAGAAAATGTGTACATTGGAGAACATCTGCTGCCCACAACTTCCAACATGAAACACCTGCTTTTTCTCCGTCCTTCTAACTCTGTCCTCCCTCTCTTTTCTTATATACTCATTTCTATTTTGCAGAACCAACAGGACTATCAAGCAGATAATAAGAAATCTCTACCTGGAAACAAACTAATCCAACAGAATAAGAATTGCTCATATTATTTCAGGGATAGGGGAGAACTGCCTCCCCCCCCCCCATATGATCTGTTAAATATGATCACAAGCACACGGACATCTCCTCAGCTCCCTGCACATAAACGGAATATGTCTGACTCAATCTTTCTCCCACAGAAAGAAGTAAATAGATTACCTATAAGCACATTCTGAAGGTCAACCAACACAAGCTTTTTCACATAACCTTTGATATATTTGGGGGGCAGTCGGAAAGAAAAAGACAACAAAAAGGTACATTTTAGGACCCCCACTGTTCCTCCCATCCCCCTCCCAAGTGGCTGCAGAAACAGACCCTTTAATCCACATTGTACCTGAGTCCGGACCCTCCTCCCCAAATTCACCAGATCTTCTGACACGATGAGCTGTAAATCCAGCACAGACGTTTATGCCCAAAACCAAACCGAGCAAGGAGGTTACCTGGAGGAGGAAAAAAAGAAGAAGAAAGAGAGAAAGCCAGAGAGAGAGAGAAAAGAGAGAAAAGAGAGAGAGAAGTTAATAAAACAAAGCAAGTTTCGAGGTCTTCTCCTGTCTTCCTTCCGTCCTTCCTTCCTTCTCTTTCTTTCTTTCCTTCCTTCTTTTCCTTTCTTTTTTCTCTTTCCTTCTTTCATTCTTCTTTCTTCCTTCCTTTCTTTCCTTCTTTCATTCCTTTCTTCTTCTTTTTCTTTCCCTTCCTTCCTTCCTTCCTTCTTTCCTTCCTTCCTTCCTTCTTTTCCTTTCTTTTTTCTTTTCCTTCTTTCCTTCCTTCTTTCTTTCCTTCTCTTTCTTCCTTCCTTTCCTTCTTCTTTTCCTTTCTTTTTTCTCTTTCCTCTTTCATTCCTTCTTTCTTCCTTCCTTTCTTTCCTTCTTTCATTCCTTCTTTCTTCCTTCCTTCCTTCTTCTTTCTTTCCCTTCCTTCCTTCTTTCTTTCTTTCCTTCCTCCCTTCCTTCTTTTCCTTTTTTCTCTTTCCTTCTTTCCTTCCTTCCTTCTTTTCCTTTCTTTTTTTCTCTTTCCTTCTTTCCTTCCTTTTTTCTTTCCTTCTCTTTCTTCTTCCTTCCTTTCCTTCCTTCTTTTTCTTTCCCTTCCTTCCTTCTTTCCTTCCTTCCTCCCTTCCTTCTTTTCCTTTCTTTTTCCTTCCTTCCTTCCTTCCTTCCTTCTTTTTTAATTAAGGACATTTCTAAGATTTTGCAAGTTGTTCCGACAGGTCATCCCGTCTCCTTGCCGAAAGAGTTAAAAAAAAAAAAAAAACACTCACTAAACGGGGACACATTAATCCGACACCAGCCTTGGGAGTTCTAGGATCGGAACACTTATTTCTTGCCCGGCATCGCGGGTGAGGAGGGAATTGGGGCGGGGAGCGTTCGGATCCCGTCTCCTTGGGGCAGCGGCGCTCTCGCCCCCTTGCCTGCCCGCCATCCCGGGCCGCCCAAAAGCCCAAGGTGGGGGGGGGCTCCTCCCGTACCTGATAGAGCGGCAACCCGTTCGCCTTGGCCATCCTCCTCCCGCTGCCTGGCCGAGGAGCCTCCTTGGGGCAGGAAACGGAGCGCGGCGCTCTTGTTTGCACAGGCTATCTCGGCTACAAACTAAATCCCACCTGGGGAGGTCGAGCGCTTCCCCGTGATTTGTCCAGGGGGAGGTTTCATCACGTCCCGCTTCACAAATCGCAGCGCGCCAGGGCCCCAAAGCCGCAGGCATCGCCCGCGCCCGCCCGCCCGCCTCCTCACCCACCCCCTCAAACCACCTCCCGACGCTCGGTCACGCACCCGTTTCGGGGCTCCCGTCCGGCCCGCGCCGCCAAAGGTTCGCCTGGCCGGGGCTCCCGATGCCATGACCGTCCGGCTCCTTCGTGCCAACGTTAAGCGGGATGGCGAGAGAAGGCGCCGGGGCTGTGCGCGCGCACTCCCATCGCTGCCTCAGAGCGGCGGCGGCGGGAGGATGGTTTCCTCGGGCGCCGATGAAAGGCGGGAGAGAGAGAGAGAGAGCGCGAGTGAGGCAGCAAGCGGTGGGCTTTGGCTCCGAGCGGACCCACCAGGATATGATAGAAAAGGCTGGATAGCCTTTTAAGGAAAGACTGGACAGTCAATTGTCTGAAACGGGGTAGGGTCTCCTGCTTGAGCAGGGGGCTGGACTAGAAGACCTCCAGGATCCCTTCCAGCTCTATTCTTATGGCAGTCTTACTAGTCAAGGAGAATATTTGTAGCTCGGGGTTGACCTGAGGGGTCCTTCGTGCTCTCTGAGCTTGCTCGTTTTTTTCTAGCGGACGTTTCATTACCCAAACTAGGGAACGCCATCAGTGCTATTGGAAAATAGCAGTCTTATTTATTTATTTATTTATTTATTTATCTATCTATCTATCTATCTATCTATCTATCTAACTAACTATCTAGGCGGCTTACAATGCGTTAAGCAATAGCCTTCATACTTTTGTATATACCTACTTAGTAGGGCTTTCGCCCCCCCCCAAGCCGTGTTCTTTTTTATACAAAGTCAGCTTATTGCCCCCACAATCCGGGTCCTCATTTTACCTACCTCGGAAGGATGGAAGGCTGAGTCAACCTTGAGCCTGGTGAGATTTGAACTCGCACTAATTGCAAGCAGCTGGTGCTACTTAACAGCACTTTAGTCTACTGCGCCACCAAGGCTCTTATGGTATCTGAGGGGCTTCCACAAAGAAGAAGAAGGGTCAACCCAGGGGTGAAATCCAACAGGTTCTGGAGAACCGGTAGCGGAAATTTTGAGCAGTTCGCAGAACCAGTAAATACCACCTCTGGCTGGTCCCAGAGTGGGGTGGGAATGGAGATTTTGCAATATCCTTCCCCCAGGAGTCGGGAGGGAATGGAGATTTTGCAGTATCCTTTCCCTGCCACGCCCACCAAGCCACACCACGCCCACCAAGCCACGCCCACAGAACCGGTAGTAAAAAAAATTGGATTTCACCACTGGGTCAACCTGTTTTCCAAAACACTTAAAAGGCAGAACAACGGCGCTCCACTCTTTTACCGAGCCCTCCTTCCAGATGTGGGAACACACACATTCTCTGTATTCTCTGTTGCAAAACAGCTGTCTTCTGATTAAGGAAGCGACACGCCACTTTTGACACAAGGGCTAGACACCAGGCACAGAGGTCGAATCTGGGACCTTGCAAAGCTCCCCGAACTACAATGCCCAATGTCTAAATGGAGATTCTCAGTCATACAGGTCATAGTTGACACAAAGGTGCTTCCCCCCTCCGCCTTCCCACGCAAGGCAACTTGATGGTTTATTATTTGAAGAGGAAGAAGTAGATATTTCGCTTCTCATCCAAGAAGCTTCATCAGTTTTAATTACATCTCCTAATGTCCCAAAGGTGCTTTCTTTTCAAAAGGCAACTTTTGCCTTTTGTGAAAAAAAAATGACTGAGAATCTCCATAGACACAACTCCCAATGTCTCTCCTCATTGAGCGGGTAGCTGTGGATGCTGCTGGGAATTGCAGTTCCCCATCTCTGGTTTACAGGTCCCCGCTTTGAAATGTAACCTCTGTAAGAAGGTTAATATGTGTTGTTGGTGCTGAGAAATGAAACACTGAATGAGACCTCAGGAGAAGAATGGAAGTCTGTGATGCTGACTTGGATTGAGTTCCCTATGTTTTAAATGCGTAGTGCTGAACATTTGGCATTTACATTTGGCTAAGAGAAAAAAAGGTCAAAACAGGACGTTCTCTAGAGAAAAGTTCCCTGAAGATGGGCTCCCGCATAAGTCCGAAAGCTCGGAAGACAAAACCTCTGGTTCCGGTAACCGACCCACATTGGATCCTGCAACATTAATCCCGGGCCACATATATTCACAATATATAATAAAGGGATCTATATTGGGTCCAGTTGCAACCATGCCTCATTGCAATCAATAGGATTTAAGTCACGGGTGAAATCCAGCTGGTTCTGACAGGTTCTGGAGAACTGGTAGCAGAAATTTTGAGTAGTTCGGAGAACCGGCAAATACCATCTCTGGCTGGTCCCAGAAGGGTAGGAATGGAGATTTTGCAATATCCTTCCCCCAGGACTTTGTGTTCCTTGGCTCAACTATCTCTGACACTCTCTCTTTAGATACTGAGCTAAATAAACGTATTGGTAAAGTGGCCACCACATTTTCCAGACTTACAAAGAGAGTATGGCTTAATAAGAAGCTGACAGAACATACAAAGATCCAGGTCTATAGAGCCTGCGTCCTGAGCACACTCTTCTACTGCAGTGAGTCTTGGGCCCTTTATGCACGGCAGGAGAGAAAGTTGAACACCTTTCATATGCGCTGTCTCCGACGAATTCTTGGCATCACCTGGCAGGACAAAGTTCCAAATAGCGCAGCCTTGGAACGTGGTGGAATTTCTAGCATGTATACACTATTGAAACAGTGACGTCTACACTGACTGGGGCATGTCATGAGAATGGCTGATGGTCAGATTCTGAAAGATCTCCTGTATGGAGAATTAGTGCAGGGAAAGTGCCTCAGAGGGAGACCACAGCTGCGGTATAAGGATATCTGCAAGAGGGACCTAAAGGCCCTGAGAATGGACATTAACGACTGGGAAACCTTGACCTCCGATCGTTCAGCTTGGAAGCTAAAGACGCAGCATGGCCTTCTCTAATTCGAAGAGACACTTGTTCAGCAGGCTGAGGCAAAGAGGCAGTCCCGGAACCAGTGAAATCTGGGGGCTGGGCAGGGGACAGAATGTATCTGCCCTCAGTGTGGAAGGGATTGCCACTCTCGAATTGGCCTTTTTAGTCACACTAGATGCTGTTTTAGGACCTCTTTCCAGAGCACGATACCATAGACATTTGAGACTGAAGGATGCCAATGTCTTCCCCCAGGATTGGGGAGGGAATGAGGATTTTGCAGTATCCTTCCCCTGGAGCGGGGTGGGAATGCAGATTTTGCAGTTTCCTCCCCCTGCCACGCCCACCAAGCCATGCCCACTAAGCCACACCACACCACGCCTACCAAGCCACGCCCACAGAACCGGTAGTAAAAAAAATTGAATTTCACCACTGATTTAAGTCTATAATAGCTAACTGAAGCATCCATCAATTCAAGAAGGTCTGCTTTGAACCCAACTAAGTGTGCACAATCTAAGGTGAAAACTAATCCTTAGCATTTGTGCATAAGGTGCATGTTTCATTCTCCAGGCTCAGTTTGCTATTCAGAGATGTCATTTTTAGAAGTTGCTGGCTCCTCCTGAACTCTGTATCAGGGACAACATCTGTACCAACAAAACATTTGATTGCTACCTGCAATCAGTCTGATTTGCAAGGCCACATGGGTTGAAAGTGAAGGATTGTAATTGGATAGTTGTTTTCCCTCCAGGTACTTTGTAAGGCGATCTTGATTATGGGGCTGAAGGCTAGAGATAGTCCTCGATTTTCAATCACTTGTTTCACAACTGCTCAAAGTTACGGCAACACTGAA